CTTGTGGCTCATACGTCGCTGCGTCTTTGACATCTGGTCACGTGCCTTAACAAAAAGATCTTGCATCTGACGAATGAGGAGAAGGTGGTCTTCGCTCCAGGCCGCCCGTGGGATAATCATGTCCAACGGAGACGTGATTGGCGAGCCATGCTCGAATTCCAAGGGAGACATCCTGACAGCCGGATGAATGGACGAGTCGTATGCCAACTCGATATTCGATTGCCGTTCAATCCAATCCTTTTGGTGGGAACAAATGAGGGTGCGAAAAAGAACCTGAGCAGTTTAATGTGACCTCTCCCTTTGGCCATCGGTTTGGGGGTGGCAAGCCGAACACGGTTTGAGAGATGAGCCCCATCGTTTGATGAACGCTAACCAAAAATCGGCTATGAACCGAGTGTTGCGGTCACAAGCGATCTCTTTGGGGTAACCCTTGGTACAAATCCAACCGGCATAAGGAACCTCGGCCAAGTCCGGTGCCCAGGCGTGATAGCGACAAGGCAAAAACATGGCAAACTTGGTGAGTCGATCGACCATCGTGAGGATCTCATCCACACTCGTCTTGTGCTTGGGAACGACCCGGTGATGTCCATGACAATCACTTCCCTACATGGCAAGGGGACCAGTAATGGTCGCAACTCACCATACGGACGATGATTGTGGGATTTGCAACGTCTGTGAACCTCACATTTTTCGCAATAGCCTGTGAGGTCACCGAGAAGGACGGGTTAGTGATCACCAAAAGCGCTCACGAAATCGACCAATCGTACGATTAACTCCAAAAGAGTCCAAAATTTCCGGTGGCAGGAGCGTCGTGGAACTCGCTAAGAGGCCACGTACACAAGTGTGGGTCACTTGACATGCAAAGAAGATTCTTCCCCCACGAGTGGACAAAAAAATATCCGTCTTGGATCTAATAGTGCGATGGCGCCGAATTTGAAGACGAAGAATTCCTTGTGACGAAACTCGAGGTTGGCTTTGTAGCCGTGATTAAAGATGTCCCGCAAGTTGTCATCAATCTCGAAAGTCGAGTAGATTGCGGTACAATGGTCTAGACGTTGTAAAAGAGCATCCACAAAACGGTTCGACTTTCCTGAAATGTGATCGGGGAAGAAGTGAAATTAGACGATGAAAGTCATCCAACGGGCGATGGTGATTGTGTCTTGGGTCTTATAGAAGACCAACGGATTGTTATCCGTTATCCATCAGAATTGACATCGACCGAGAATAAAATGTCGTCACCGCTTAAGCGCGTGTATGAAGGTTAATAACTCTTTCTTTCGTGCGTCGTCAATCGAGTGCACGAATGTCGTCCAACTTGTCCAAGTAGACCAGCACAAACCGGTCCAACATTGCGAGGAACTCGTTCAAGTTGGTCATCGCTGCTTGAAAAGTCGTCGGGGCAATGGTGAGGACAAAAGGCATGACCACCCACTCAAAATGCTTGTACCGCGTCTTGAACACGGATTTGTAGCGATCTTGCGGGCGTATCCAAATCTAAGGATAGCCCAACCTTAAATCCAACTTTGAAAAATATTTCGCTCCGCCCAGAGTTTACGATAGTTGATGCACTTGCGTTACCGCTCGCTGATTGAGTGTAGGGTCGAAACTCAAATTTTTTAGCTCCGCTTAATCCCACGCTCAAAAGCCCTTAGCGAGTTTTGAGTGGGCGTGCGAAAATCTTGTTTTCCTAAAAAATAATGAGCAAAAAAAAAACAAAAAATACAGGGTTGTAAATATTTTTGATATTTACAACTCTATGTTTTTATTTTATTTTTTTAATTTTTTCTTTATTTAAAAAAAAAAAACATAAAAGAAAAAAAAAAAAAAACATGAATCGGCTGGGTTATTCTATTTTTCAAAGAGATTTTTTTGCAGGCAACAATTTAACAAAATAAATACTAAAAACTATAGTCTTCTAAATATTTTGGAGATCTACGACCCCATATTTTTTATTGTATTGTTTCTAAGTTTGTATATATAAAAAATAAAAAACATAAAAATGAGAAAAAAAACACTCACAGACCCCGCCCAGGCCGGGCCTGCCCACAGACACACTTGAACACACACACACACGCGTAGTGCCACACACGCAGACACAAACACACACATAGACACACACACACACATTTATACACACAGAGAGAGAAAGATGCACCACCTTCCCCACCCAGCCCCCCAGCCCCCTAGCCCCCCCCCGAAAAAAAAGAATCCACCCCCAATCACACAAATTATTTCTTCTGCGCAACCGCCCCCACGACATCCCCTGCCTTCGCGCAACCCCATGATGCGTGCGCACACTTTTTTTGACGAGCGCGCACGCCTTAAAACGCTTTGGGCGCGTTTGAGCGCGGCAGAGGGGTCTTTAAGTGTGCGTGCTCGCGCTCACCCACGCTCAACCGGTTTCATAGCGATGCACAAGCAAAATTTTTGTTCTTCTTCCGTACGAAGAGAAATGGTGCACCATATGGTGAGCTACTAGGGTGGATCCCGACCTTGTCCAACAAAGCATCGAGTTGCACGCGGAGAACCGCGAGCTCTTCCTCGATCATACGATAGATATATTCTTTCGGAGGTACGACAACGGCCTCAAGAATGAACTCATGGGAGTCATGGGAGATCGGTCGATCCAGCACCACATCGGTAGGGGACTCGAAGATGTCGGCGAACTCGTCAAGCAACCACACCACATGGAGGTCCGAGGATTAGTCCGTGGGTGAGGAATCAGCTACCACGACGGTTCGAAGAAAACCTACGAATCCCCGTCGGAGCCGGCCAAGAGCGGCCAAGTCCGCAGCCGCAGACAAGGCCGCGACCCCGCGGACGCGTCCGTGCAGCCACCTGGCCGTGCGGCGCCGTGGCGGCCGATAGGGAGGTGGTTTTGGAAATCAGTGTATGGGGTTCGGCTGCGCATAAGCGTCCCTATGACCACGAACCCAAAAAAACTACAAAATAATAATTTTGGGGGGGGGTCGATTTCCACCCCCTTTGATGGTGAGAAAACGAAAAAAAAACTCCACATTTGGTGGATTTTTCAAAGTGGGGGTGTGTGATACGTGGTGAGGTGCGTGTTCGGCAAAAAAAAAAAAAAAATTGGGGGGGGGGGGTGGGGGGGGGAGGGGTTAATGTTTTAGCAGGGTTTGGCAGTGTTGGGGTGGTTAATGGTTTGGGGTCCGAAATTGGTGGGTTGTTTCAACTTATTTGGGCCCTCTGGGGGGGCGTAGGGTATCGTCTTTGGGTGCTGGCATTTGGGGTTGTTTGGTGTGCACGGTTTGTAGTGTCTTAGGGGATTGTGATTATGTTTGGTGGTTGGGGGTGATGACGATTTTCCTTCTTCTTGTTGCACACAGTTTCAGTGCGGGGTTTTGTGGATTGTGTGGGGGGCTTTAACATAAAGTTAACAGGAATTAACACACACAGCCAAGTAAAAGACATTGAGATATTTTTAATACCGCAATTGCGTGAACATAAACTAATGGTTTCACAACATATCATAGAGGTCAACTGTTGCAAGTGTCAGAGTTCACACATTATGAAACGATGCATCATGCTCAATAAGACCGTGAGATCATGCATTCAGTAAAACACACCACGTTCAGAGAGAGTGAGAAAAAGGGCAAAAATTCATAGGAAATATGAACCAAAGATGTACATCTGAGATAATGTGAGTTGTGGACTCATAGAACACAATCAAATAACGAGGAGGGAAAACAAGAACAACTGATGTATGAGTCGAACTGTTGTGAGTCCTATCCACATACATAACAAACTGCAAACTCTCCATATACACAAACGTTGTCTTGATGCGAAAAACTGTACACAACAGTTGTCACTAGTACACATGTCTCATGAAAACGAAAACATAAAAACCCTACCACACACACCGTCTAAGGTCACCACTACACACGAGTCGTAGGAACGAGAAAAACAACATACATAAAGAACGTCAAAACTAACGTACATATGAGAAACTTAGAAAACGACTGTGAACCAGACACCAAAACATGGGAAACATCCTAATAAGCACGACATGATGTCTACTATATTGCCCCCGGTCTCTGCCTGCTCCACTAGATGAACGACTATGTCGTGCAACACTCGCTCGTCGGCCCCATGTCGCACATGTCCCAACCTCGGCCAATCTCGACTGCCTCTCCCTGCGCCTGACAACCTCGATGAGCTCCTCCTCTATGTCGGCCTCTGATGCACGTGTCGCCCCATCCTCACGCACTCCCTATCGTGCTCGGCGTGCAACTCCCTTAATCGTGCCTCCTCCATAGCAACACGGGACTCTAACTCGTTAATGCTGCTGTGGTGTCGCTCTCCACGAGGCGTCGACACACCGTCCTCTCCAGAAGTGTACATCGCAGGCGCGACCCAGTGTCAACCGAAAAGTAGGTCTCTATGCGCATGATATATGGGCTCTTTGAGAATGCGATAAGTTGTCCCGATACTTGGTGCGCCTTGCCGCTCCTCCCTCAATCGTCCGTGTTGTGCAGCGAAATCCTCCCTCACACCATCATCCACCCGTCGCACTGTGGACCACGGACAGTGGAGCGACTGCTGTTTGTCGAGGCGAGGCAACGACGACGACGACATGTGGCCTCTGCCAGCAACACTACCCGTGAAAGATGGCGGTGTACCGTCGAGCGTAGTCGGTGGAGGTCGTATACTCATGGTCATGCGAGTCGTCCGTGCACCCGAAGCCGCCGCTCTAACAGACTCTGTCTGTTGCCGCTCGCGCTCCAAGCTCGCAGGGGAGCCATAATACAGAGGTCTCAAAGGTGTGTAAAGCGGAGGCGAGCGAACTCCAACCCCATGAGATCCTGCTGGTCCTTCGCTGATCCGATCCTCCACTAGCACACGGTACAACGCGTATGGATCGAGTAGGCCCCGTGTAATCTGCCCCTCCTCCAGATCTGCTCTGGGGTCGTAATGGTCATTTGCTGTACCAGCCTCCCCCTCCTCAACCACACCTCGGCCTTCCTCCACGGAAGTTGATGGAACCTCGTGCGCCACCGGTGAAGGATCTCGCAACACTAACGCCAACGACATCGGCCCCTATGACGATCGACCAGAACCGGCACTGTGCGCACGTGCAGGACGCCCTGCATCACCGTCCTCGTCGTCGCCCTCCGCATCGGCCCCTGTGCCTTCCTCCATCCCGCCGGAATCGCCCTCCATGTCAAGTGGCTCACGACTGAGTGGAGGATCAAGCTGCAATGTGTACACCACATAAAGTCCAACTATGACGTTGGACACGACCGGGACTCCATACTCGGACGCACCACCATCTCCTCCCATTGCGGAGACGGAATCGACACTGACCTCGGGTGACAGCAACGGTGTGTGTGTGTCCGGTGTCGACGCGTCGGCAACAAATGCAGGCGGATCTGTACGGACCTGATGCTCGACCCTGCCCGCATCAGGAACTACAGCACTGGTCTCCAAGTCCCGAATACGATGCTTATCCTCCATGTACTCCTGTCTACCCTCCCACTCTCTCTGCAATTTCTCCGGCCGCTGCTCCTCCTCTCGATCCAAGCGGGCATGGAGCTCCTCTGTGGACTCCACTCTAGCACCCTCCATAGGACGATGCTCGGTGTCATCCCCCACTCTCCCTCCCCCGTGCGACACTCCTCGAACACCGGTGTTCGAAAGTCCGTGCCTGTGCCCATGAAAGTCACTCGTGCGGAGCTCGGTCTGGTCCCTGTCACCTCGAGGTCCTGAGGTGGGTGTACGCTGGCTCCCCAAATGTGCCTCAGTTGAGTCAGTTGTGATGTCCTCCACATGGTCCGACACCTCTCGTCTATGTCCTGAAGGCGTGGTGTTCTTCGCCTGCAGCCTCTCCGATCTCCTGAGGCCCTTAGCGGCGGCAGGTGCTGCCTCGCGTGCCAAGCGTGCTCTGCGATCCACCAACGGCTCCTCGTCCTCGTCGCTGGCGTCGTCATCCATGCTATCCGCCCCAGTCGTGTGCCTATGACGAACCCCTGAAGAAGAAGCACCCCTTGCGTCGTCTGAACCACCTCACTCTCCTCGGTCCAACCCTATATCCGTAGTGGGGACAGAATGGTCGTCGCCCTCCCAGATGACGGTGCAGCGTGGTTGAAATCTGTTTGGTCCACCGCCGTACGTGTAGTAGAGTCTCTCAACACTCTTATCTACACCCAACGTCAAATCCTCAGGGTCGTTCTATGCCTCGTCATCGGGCGCGGCGTCCCCGTTGTCCCGTGCCCCCGGCGACTGCACCGTCTCTGCTGGCGGTGGAGGCACGTAGTCGTAAGGATGGAGTATCACGGCTCTGGCACCAAATACCTCAGCAACGTCTGCTGGCCGACGAGAACTGTGCTGCTGGAAACTCCTCACGGATCTCCTCTGTCGGCACTGTTGACTGAGGTCTGGCTCCCCAATCCTCTGGAGCGGGCTCCTCCTACACATCCAAGTCGTCGTTGTCCTGAGGGTAGGTGTACTCCTCCGGCTGCACCTCCGCCAAGGTTGTCATGTGATCCGAAGGAAGAAGCATCCGCCTCTCATCACCGTGTCGGTCGTGTGCCCGATCCGAGTGTGGAACGACTACATCTGCTCACGCACCCACAAATATGTATCCCCCGCCCGATCATCGCCTATCTGCGCTAATAGGAACGAGTCACACTCGGTGACCACCTCGAGGTCCTCAGTTGTCTTGTAGACGAACTCGTAGTAACGGAGCGAACGTCAGTGGGCGTTGAGCAGGTGCGCCACAACGTGCGCAGGCTCAAACATATGCATTGTGCGGATCTGGACCGCCTCCACGCACGGCACCAGCATGTAAGCGGGCACCTCAGGGGCAGCTGCCACCTGCCGTACCATTTCCTGAGACCACGAGTACACCATAGAGATGATCATGCCACCCCTGTCCAATCTCCTCAACAACTGGTGGACTGGGGTCATGACGGCGACAACGAATGTGACGTTGCGCCAGAAATCGGCTCACCAGATGAGTTGTCGAACCCATAGAGTCTGTGCACACAACCTCGGCTCCCATGGGATCCTGTCCCACTCACCGTTATGAAGCATGCTCTCCAAGGCATTACGTTTGGCGAGCAAACACACAAACATAAAAAAAACGGAAGTGAATCGCGTGTCCACGGGGTGCACAAGCAATCGGCGACGACTCTTCGTCCTGAAAAGGTGATAAGCCGAACCGTGCGATTTAATAAATCGCACCAACGCCCAAACTCAAAATATGGTGTCCGTGACCCAAGGAACCCGTATCCCCACGTTAGACAACATCAAGTAGCATACATCGGTCGAACACGGGAGCCAAGCGATATGACAAATCAGGGGATCAGCGTCCTTTGCGAGGAGCTTTGCGACTGATGTATAGTTGGACGCAGAGTCCGTGCAATTTGGTGCAAATGGCCAACACATCCTTCGGAGGGAAAGACCAAAAATTGACCCTCCACCTCCTGAGGACGATCTGTGTCGTCTCAGGTACTGATCCACTGCGGCATACAGTGGCATACAAAAGGGCACCGCGCTTGGCCGCTGCAAGGAAGTTCACTATCGGGCTAGCATCTCTCGATTGCCTACCGTCTATCAAAATCGTGGCCCCAACCGACTCAAACGACGCACGGACCTCACTCAACATCGCGGCAACCTTCCCTCGCTGATCAACAATACCCGACCCACCAATCTCCTTGAACGATGGATACACACCCCACATTCCGTGAGGCATAGCGGCCATCTGCTTCTTGTGCTGAAGCCAAGAGTCCAAGACTGCCTCCTTAATGCCGCAAACGGGATACCGACATCGTATACCCACTGTAGAAAGGAGTTCCTGAAGGCGGTCCGCCATCCGGATCGTACACCTCATCCAATCTGGATTGCCTCTCTCTTGCCCGCTTGCGGCAGACCTTCATCTCCACTCACGGCTACCCTCTTCCCCCCTCGCCCTCGTGTGCCCGCCTCATGATATTGTGCAACCCTACTCCCTTGCTCAGTCATAACCACGTCCTCTCCCAGCAAATCTGGTGCTGTCCCCATGCCTCCAACCTCCTCTCCACCCCTGGCCTATGCTTGCCTAACCTCCTCGTCCAGGAAGTTTTGCACCTCATCTACAGGATCAAACTCTGGTGGTGGCGACCCCCTGCCACTCGTCCTGCCTCTGGCACTCCCTCGAAGGTCGTCAACGGCTCACCTATCCTGGATACCGTGCTTCTTCATGTATGTCAAGATGCCGCGGTGGTAGCGTGCATCAAACTCGTAGTTAGTGTCGTTCCATATGTCGACATACACAGACATTGGTGTTGTCGCGCACCTCTTCAATTGCGTGAAGTGGCGCTTTGCCTTCGACACGTTGCCCTGGCACACGTGCTTGCATCCTTGCAGTAATTGCAGCGCAGCTTGTTGTCACCATGCCTCTTTGCCCACGTCCCCATCATTTGACCCTGCGTCACATAACGCCAAACTCTCGATTTGCTGCGCAGTATGTCCATCTCTGCATCGGCCCGCACGTATAAAATCATTGCCCCCCGACCCACCTGCACCACCCAATGCACCCATCACTTTTGTCGCCAATGGCTGTTCCCCCCCCCCACAACGATGATGATAAAGTGTGGCGGTCGTTTGCAGTCTCCCAAGGTCAAGTGTACAAAGCGGGGCTAGCGGTGCCGGCTGCCCTGTCCCGCGTGTGGAGCCGTAAATAGTCCCTCGTATGCTGCAACTGCGAGGCACTTCGACAATACGCGGCCAAGAATGATGTCGCGCGGACTTCAACGACGCCACGCCACCGTGTCTGCGGCCGCGGACTTGGCCGCGCGGACGCCCTTTCTCTCTCTCAGATGTCGAAGTTAAAGATGTCGAAATATTAAAAAAAAAAAAAAAGGAGGAGGAAGGAAATTGAGAAGAAAAAAGAAATAGATTGATTGATTGATTTCTTGATTGATCAATCAATCGATCAAATCAATCAAATCAATCAATCAATCAATCAATCAACCAATCAATCAATCAATCAATCAACCAAGATCCTATCAAATCCGATAGGATATTGCTTGCTTGATTGATTGATTGATTGACCCTCTCTCTCTCTCTTTCTCTCTCTCTCTCTCTCTCTCTCTCTCTCTCTCTCTCTCTCTCTCTCTCTCTC